CCATTAAAACCATTCATCTGCCGCCCCGGTGCCCGTTTCTCGTCGTTCACTGTTCCAAACCCGCGCGTCTCATCCAAACCAACCCCCCCTTATGCGACCTTCCATTCCCCTCTCCCCTCCCTCCCACCACGAAGGAAAAACACGGGTGGAAATCTAGTCTTCTGAGCTCCCCGTTTGCACGGCTCATTTCCACACTTGAAAAGTAGTTGCTCCTGTTTCTTGAGCACTTGCTGAGGCGCAGGCGTTGTGCTAGCCGCTTTGCATCGCATTACCTCATTTCTCCCTGACTACAGGACCTTCCCCCAGTTTACTTAAGTGGAGTCCCCACTCACGATCACAGGCGTAGTAAGTGGCAGAGGCGGGCAAGATTTATACTCGAACCTGACTCAAAGTCCACGCTCTTAACCGGGAGCCCACCTTAGAATGTGTACACCCCTGGGCAGCAAGACCTCAGCCCCGTTCATTCATTTACTCCCCAACTGTTTATTGCGATCCTATCTGTGCCAAGGTCTGCGCAGGCGCCGAGGATACAGAGGGGAAAGAAAAAGAAAAAAACGACAAAAGCCCTGCCATTAGGAGTTCACGTTTCAGTAGGAGAAGACAGATGATAAAGTAAAAGATGTCGTGTGTTAGTGATAAATGCAAAGGATATAAAAAAATAAATAAAAACAGGGCACGGGGGGATATGAAATCTCTTTATATCCCTAAAGGACTTATCTCATTGGCTCAGCGGCAGTTTACCTCCTTCACCTGTGCCTCCCCCCATCCCCAACGACCACCACCTTATAAACACACACCCCTTTCCCGTGCTAAGGGCAGGGACTGGCACATTCTAGGGTAAATGGGTTTAGGAGTCCTGGGTTCCGGGCCTTGGGAAAGTCCCTGCCCGTCTCTGGGCCTCAGTCTCCCCATGAGCATACAGAGGACTTGGACCAGAAAGGATCCCTAAGGCCCCTTCCACCTCTGAAGCTCCAGGATTCTATGAATAGGCTTAAAGAGAACCGGGACCAGCGATTGCTTCCCCACCCTAGCAACTGTTGCTAGACTAGGGCCATCTCCTGGAACCGCCGGAAACACCGCCCCTGATCGGGGAGGTCTCCTGGGTATCCCATCTTGCACCGCGACTTAGCCTCGCTAGGAGGCACGTTTTTGACCTCTTTGGTCACGCTCATCCCTCAGGAGCCAGCCAGAGAGCGCGCCTCGTCCCCATGGTAACCGCGTTCGGTCCACGCGCAGACGGCGCGTGGCAAGGGTCAAAACACATTCGGAAGCTAGAGGCCCTCCGCCCGGTCCAGACGGTGCCATGGACGCGCGGGGCCTTTAAGTATCACGTGACTGGCTCCCTTCAGGCTTGTGCCCTCCTTCCCCTTCCCCTTCCCCAGGCCGGGGCGAGCGCTGCTGTGGCCCGGAGTTCCCCGGCCGGCGGACTGACTGGATCTCGGACGCCGCAGCCGTTTAGGCCGGTGCCCTTTCCCGGTAACTCCTTCCCGGCGTGACGCGCGGAGCCGCGGGCGCGGCGCGGGGCCGGGCAGGCTCGGTAGTTTCCCTTCAGTGCCTCAGGCTTCCCGGTCCCTGCGGGGGCCCGCGGGGAATCGGAGCCGACAGGGCCCGGCCCGGGGCCCTCGGCGGGCGGTGAAGGAGGGTTCGCGACCCCCGCGGGAGCTGCAGGCGTGCTCACACTCGGAGCGCGCGCGCGTGTGTGTGTGTCCCAGCGGCTGCCGGCTTCAGGGGCTACTGCCCGAGGGCGGGCGCCTACCTGTTGGGCAGGTTGCTTCCTGCCCCGAGGCCGGCCGGCCGGGCCCAGCTGTCCGCACAGGGACCAAACAGCCCCCCGCCCGCCGCCACTCGGTCCCTGTACGTGGGGGCGACTGACCCGGCCGCCTAAGGCGGTCCCGGCACAGCCCGTGGACCGGGCGCGGTAACGAGCGCTCGACCTCGTGCCCCGGAAACACTTCACGTGCATTAAACTCCCAGGCTGACCCTTCGGGATGGTGTTCTTCACCCCCGTTTGTGTTTTATTTTAAAATAAGGACGCCGAGGTTTCACACGTCGAGGTGGCTTGCCCACGGTGGGTCGGTCGGGAGCGAGTGGAGGACGGGCCCGGCCTCAGTGGGAGGCCGCCGCGCCCCTGCCCCCTCAGCGGGCTGTCGGGGTTCTGCGGGGCCGAGCAGGGGGCAGAAGAAGCTGGCTTTGGGGCTCCCAGCGGGCGTGCACGCAGCCCCGCCCCAGGCCGGGGAGGGGTTCAGTCAGCTCCGTGGGGGCCCCCGGGCAGCACGTGCACGTCCCTCCCCCCGCCCGAGTCCAGCGCCCTCAGCGCTTCTGCCCCGCTCGGAGGAAAAGGTGCGGCGGTGGACGCTTGACCCCTAGAACTTCATTCATGAGGAGCCGAGCTGCGTGCGGCGCTCGGGAAAACCGTGCGTCACGGGGTCACGACCCCGCAGCGCGCAGGCGGACGTCCAGGCCCCGCTCCCGGGGCGGAGCTGCTGAGTGTTGGGGGCCGCGCGCGTCCACGGCCTCCGGGTAACCCTGCGCGTGGGAACGGGACGTCGTTGCTCCCCGCTTTCCCGCGGGGGGCCGAGCGCGTCCCGGGGCCTCTATCCCGACCTTATGCTAATTGTCCGATTAAAGAGCAGCTCTAGATTCTCGCTCTCACGGGCTTGGTGAGAAGGGAGAGAATCGGGGCATCTTAAGTCGTAATGGCACAGCTTTGTGTTTGTTTTTTTTAAGAGTGTGTCACTTTGGCCCTGGCCGGTCTGGCTCCGTGGCAGGAGCGTCGGCTGCGGGGGGTTCCCAGGGTTCAGTTCAGGCCGAGCGCTCGGGCCTCGGCTGCAGGCTCGTCGCGCGCCGGGGTCGGTGCCTCGAGCAGCCGATCCACGGGTCCCCCTCTCTCTCTGCCCCCCTTCCACTCTCTCTGAAAAGCAGTGGGAAAAAATATCCTTGGGTGACTATTAAAAAAAAAAAAAAAAGTATTTCTCCCAAGAACGCCACGACCCTCTCATTTCGTGATGTTGCACATGGTAAACCTTACGGTTGCATGATTTTATTGAGCAGACACTCAAGGAGGTATTCTTAAGCCTCTTTTTTTTTTTTTATGTTTTTATTGATTTTTAGAGAGAGAACCGTGAGTGATGAGAGAGGGTCGTGGATCGGCTGCCCCCTGCAGGCCCCCTCCTGGGGGTGGAACCCCAGCCCCGCCCCACCCAGCCTCCTGTTTTAAGTTTACACTGTTGCTGTCAGAGTAAGCGAAGCAGTACGTTTGAGATGTGGTCGCCCTGATTTTTCTGTGTGTATCTTCCCACGTTCGCTTATCATTTCTTCACCGCATTCATTTCCAGTCCTTTCTAAAGCTTCTCTAATCCAAGGGTCCTGGAGAGTTGCTACTCTTATTGCCCATCTTTTCATCTATAGTAGTTCTATAGTAGTTCTTATTTGTGATAGTTAAGTAGCGAGATTGGTAATTTTTAAAATATGTATATACTCAAGCCGCTTGACACTTTTCCTGCAAAATATCTTTTTGTTTCTTTTGTTTTTCGTCTGTGTATCTTTACACCTTTGCCTAAAAAGCAAGACCGTCCAGGTTTCTGCCACTGAAACTTGTTGCCTCTCCCATTATTTCAGCTCTGGAAAGGAAGAGAAATGGAAGTGAAAAAGTTGAGCATTTCCTGGCAGTTCTTGATAGTTCTGGTTCTGATCCTGCAAATTCTGTCTGCGTTGGATTTTGACCCGTACAGAGTCCTAGGGGTCAGCCGAACAGCCAGTCAGGCTGATATTAAAAAGGCTTATAAGAAGCTCGCCCGGGAATGGTAGGTGAAACAAAGAAATAGTTTAATATAAGCTTAGCAGTTCTAACAGGGAAATGAAGCCTAAGTTTTGATTAGCTTTTATTTGTCTCTGTTTATATATGTTCAGTAAGTATATAATTATATCTGTCTAAAATATTTTATTTGGGAGAACTAATGTTCATGTTGTTCTATAAGTTTTAGGGATGTGACCCGAAGCCTATGTTACTGTGAAACCCCCTTAATTGCCCTAGATGCCATTAGCATATTTAATGTTAAAGTAAAGTAGGGAACTTTAATTTTTAAAGTGTATGTGTACTCAATGATGGATAAGCTACCTTCCCCGTGATGTTATTCCTAAAGTAACTCTTCATGAGTGTCATTGCTGGAGGGAACACTGCCCAGTCCTGTTTTCTAGATTATTAATGTTTAGCTTTCAAAAAAATTTTAGAACGAGCTTTTTGGCCCGCAATTTTAAACGAATATTCAGGAATTGAGTATATTACTTTATCGAAAAATTAGAATTTTACCTGTAGATGTTATATATGCTAGGGAATATGTGTTTATGAATTAGGATAGCAATAAATTTAAAGCTTATTTTGGACAGACATCCTCAGTTTCTTCTACTAGTGCTATGGACTTGCCTATGAGGAAGTGTTGGATTATATAGCTGGAGGGGAGCTGCAGGAGGAGGGAAAGGACGGGCGACTACAAGCTGGGCGAACCAGCCCAAGTATAGAAGAAGGTTGGGGTGGGAGCCGTCACTGAGCTCCTGCATGCTAGTCCCCAGGTTCTGTGTTTTATCTCATTTAAACCGAATATTTGCACTGTGAAGGGAGGATCTGGCTGTCCCTGTTTTACGGGTTGTGAAGTCTGTATTACCTCTGGCTTCCATAGTTTGACCTTCTCACCAACAGGTAGTTTGTTGCCTTTTTGGTTTCTGATCACTTACCCATCTGGGCAGAAGTAAGAGTGAGTAGGTCAGCGTGGGGGGTAGGAAGTCAGGCGGAGATGCCGGGGCAGGCTGCGGGTGACTGCCTGCCACCATTCTTCAGTGAAACGTCTCTTAGTTTTAAACTGGCTGCAGTACAGGTAAAATATAGTGTTAAAATATAATGTTCTGAGTAGGTATTTTAGGCTTATTAGTGTTATGGAGAATCCAGAAATAGTTACTAAAAACACAATCTGTCCAGGGGCTGTCTTTAGTTGCTTCCAAAGCAAAACTTAAAAACCTGCAATGAAGCATAAGGTAGTAACATTCTTTCAGACAGGACATGGCCTTTGACAACATTTTAGAAGCGGAAATGATCGCTGGAGTGTGTAGGGCCTGTTAAAAGGTACAGCTTTGACTTTGCTGTCTTCCAGAGCTGAAAAGGGTGTTGTATTAATTAAATGAGTCATGTGCTTCTCTCCCTTAATTAGATTCTCTCTAGGAGTAATTTATAGCAGTAGAAATACATAGAGTGTCCTCCAGTGAAGGTCTAAAATGTTACATTTTCGCTGTACTGTTATTTCCTGCTAAGTTTAGGCTGTGGCCGTGTTTTGTCACTGAAATTGTTTGTTTCCTTTTGTAACAATTTCACATACACTGAAAACGGCAGTGTTCCCCAGTTTGCCTTTTCAAAATGAACTATAGGGGGCGGGGGACGCTCAGGTAATGGCTGGACTGGATTGGCAGCCTTCCTCTGCTGTGTTTTACTACTTCAGAGTGTTGCTTCGACGCCTCAAGAGCTTGCCCCTTACTTGGTGAAACCGTTTAAAATTGCTTTATCTCTGAGGAAAACTGTTTCCCAATAATTAAGTTTTATCGTAGGTACCTTTCTTTTGTCATCTACTTTGGCAAAATAACTCCTCCCACTCCAAGAAAAAAGGCGTCATAAGGTTTGATTTGAAGCAAATGGGTCCGACATGGCCAGTCACCTGAACCGTAAATGGATTTGTCTAATACTTTGCTACATTACTTCCAATGTGTATTTTCACTACTTTTTATTACAGTAGATGTTCAAACTGTCTCACATTTTCTTTCCCTTAGAAGTAGCTAGACCACCGGTAAATACCAAGCACAGTCCATTCTTTGCTTTGGGAGTGAAAGGGTGTGTCTATATTGTAGTCTGTGCAACGTTTCACATGCACTGAAAATCGCACTGGACAGTACTTTCCTAGAGCTGAAGTTCTCTCTCTCTGCTTTTAACTGTGTGCTGTCCCCCTGTGATTAGAATAATATTCCTTATATGCTGAAACTGCCCTGTGGTTTCCTCCCAATTCTTGGGCCTCGGTTTCCTCTGTTGCAGGATCTGCGGTTTTAACCCGGCAGCCCTCACAACTCACTGTTTGGTTCAGCTTCTTTAAAAGCCCCTTCCCACCCTTCCCTGGGTAGAGTTCTGTGTGTCAGATCTTCATTTGTGTGATCGCATAATTTTTAGCCTCTCAGCCTTTAGCCTGAGTGAATATTTACAGCACTTTTTTTTGTCATCCAGAAACATGCTTCAAAACCACCGTCTTGTTTCCTTAAGTCACACTTCTTTCATTATCTTGCTGAGATTTCCCCCCACTAATATCATAACCAGGATTAAATAGTTAAGGAGTAATGTCCAAATTCAACAGTCAGCCTTTTGAAATATTTTTATTTTCAGAGAATCAGAATGTGTGGCATAATTCACTCAGATGTTTTCCTGCAAGAGTAAGTTGGTCAAGTTGTAAATGTTTTTTATTCCCATGTACCTGGTGCTGTTTTTAGTGGCTGTTTGCTTCCCAGTGGGTTTTCTCTCTCCAGAACCTTTGCTACAGAAAACTTACTAGATGTTAACAGAGTGATTCCATAAAGAAAGTCTATAATAGAGTCTCCATAAAATGAGCACTGAAAGGTCAAACACTGGTTCAGGTCTGCGGACATAAAACCCAACTCCTACTTCCCTGGACTGTAAAAGTCGCAGAACTAAAAGTGGTATAAACACACGCAGATTGCAGAGTCGTATGTGACCGTGAGATGGACCACGGCCAGCTGTGCATGATGGCAGATGTTTGTTCCAGTGTTAGTTGAAATCACTTCGCTTAAACCGTAGACTTTGCTTACATCTTAAAACTTGTGGCCTTGACGTCATTATCCATCTGTAGGTCAGAGGCAGTCACAGGTAGAGTGGGACAACCAGAGTGATCATGAAACTAAATGTTCTGCCTGGAACAGCAGCAGCAAGGTGCTGTCTGAAGCATAGTTGCTACTAAATAAATTCATGTTGCAGCGTTAAAACTATTTCCTACACCTGCCCGAGTTGTCGGAAGAAATCGGTATCATCAGTACTGTTCTGACATGGGGATGAGATGCTGCCATCCTGGGAAAAGACGTCAGTTCTATGGAGAAGTGGCTTGAGCCACAAGCCAGCATTAGGGTGTTGGGAGCAATGCAAAGGCACACACTTCCCACCTTTCCTAGGAAAATGCGCAGGACCATCTCCTCTTGCACTTTGAGAATGGGCCCAGCTGAAATACTTTTGGAAGAAGTTTAAAGTTGCATTTTTTTATAGTTATGTGAAGCAACCGGTTGCTCCTACCATTTATCTTTAAGAAACTGTCCTAACAGAATGGCCGTCCGTTTGCCTCTGACGTAGTAAATCGTGTGGATGAGGGTGTTAGTTGACCGTGTGTGAAACGTTAACTCCACTCTCATGCTGCCCTTTTGTGTTGCAGGCATCCCGACAAAAACAAAGACCCTGGAGCAGAAGACAGGTTCATTCAGATTAGCAAGGCTTACGAGGTATTGTGCCCGACTGGGATTCCTCTGTGGGCTCTCATAAAACTTGTCTCAGTGTTTAGTCAAGTCCTCAGACAGGCTGTGTTCCCTGTGCCCTCGACCCGGTTTCTAGATGGTGGTACAGAGACTGTATTTGGCCACATCCAGTATGTCAAAGCCAGTGCCCGAGCACTTCAGCTCTTTTTAAAAATGGCCTATTTTAAAGGCTTTAATTGGAATTGTAGAACTACCCTGAAGGTATGTCTCCATTTCCTTTTTAGAAACTTATATTATGTGCTCACTTCAGCTGCACATATACTAGAAACTTAAAGAACTGCAGACCAATTTGCCTGTAGTTAACATGACACAAGGTTGCAAATACATTTAAACACAAGATTTTCAACAGTTCTCTAACATGTCAGCTTAAATAGGTTGTCTGGAGGACGCACCAGCCCATGGCTTCCTGCTTGGGCAGGGTGATGCCCCTCACCAGACAGCTCAGCTCAGAGGATGACTCCTCATCTTAGCGCAGGGTCCGGAATTTCAGAATTAACTTCAAAGTTCTTTCTAAGGAAAATAAAGTCAGCCAGTGCAATTCTGGGGTTACTTTTTGTGTCCACAGCTTTTCACATTTTGGGTTGACCTAGTCAATTTTCTTATGGTCAAGCCCGGTGGTCAGCATTATGCTAAGTTGTATTTGTTTTACTGATGTGCTTAGTGTTACGATAGCTCAGAATCTTTAAATCCAAGAGGAGTATCTAAGTGACTGAAGTAATTTGGTCTTGAAATACTCAGTGTGTCTATTGGGAGAAGTTGTTTCTGGCACATAGTGACCAATTTAGAGCACTCGCTCATGCCATGTTTTCCAGTTTCTTCTTACATCCTCCGAGCTGCTACAGGAAAGTTCTTTGCGTAAACTTTTTTTGGTTCTATGGGTTTTATGGGTTTCTTTTTTTTTTTTCTTCATTATAGATTCTTTCCAATGAAGAAAAGAGATCCAATTATGATCACTACGGGGATGCCAGGGAGAACCAGGGCTACCAGAAGCAGCAGCAGCGAGAGTTCCGCTTCCGCCACTTCCATGAAAATTTCTATTTCGATGAGTCCTTTTTTCACTTCCCCTTTAACACCGAGCGGCAGGACTCCATTGATGAAAAGTATTTGTTGCAGTTCTCGCATTATGTGAACGAAGTGGTTCCCGACAGCTTCAGGAAACCCTACCTCATTAAGATCACCTCGGATTGGTGCTTCAGCTGCATCCACATCGAGCCAGTTTGGAAGGAAGTAATTCAAGAACTGGAAGGATTGGGTAAGAGGATGTCATTCGCCAGAAAGTGTTTATCTGGGAGGAGGTCGAGTTTTAAATCTTGAATCACATGGGACACTGGGGAGAAGGAGCAGTGTGGCTTCTCTTCGCAAGTTCACGAGGACTGTGTCTTCGAGGATACATTTTCAGAGGGGAGATGGTTCGGCCACTCTCACTCCGCATTTCTAATTCGAAGCTTTATCTGTATAGTCCCCTGACAGATAAAGCTTCAAATTCTGGTTGGGTGCCTAATACGTAGGAGAAGCTGGAAAATGATCAGTGAATGAAGCAGCCCTCAGGCACCAGTGTTCAGGCTGGTTGGATTTTCAGTTTATCCATATAGTATTTGTGATTTCACTCTGTGTATTAGTTTGCTAGGGCCACCATACAAAATGCCACATAAACAGCAGACATTTATTTCCTCACAGTTCTTGAGATTAGAAGTCCAAGATCGAGGTGTCGGCAGGGTTGGTCTCCTCTGCGGCCTCTCCCCTTGGCCTGCAGATGGCTGCTTCTCCCTGTGTCTTCACGTGGCCATCTCTGTGTGTCTGTGTCTGGTGTCTCTCTTTTCTGTATACTAAACTCTTTTTATAGGAACACCAATCATATTGGATTAGGGCCCACCCTTATAAAACCCATTTTAACTTCAGTTCTTCTTTGAAGGCTCTATCTCCAAATATAGTCACCTTCTGAAGTGCTGGGGGTTAGGGTTTTGCAGGGGGTTGGGGGAAGAGGAGGGTAAAGATTCAGTCCATAACACTGACTGTCACGGGTGACCATTCTCAATCGCAGATTGGCCTTTCCTTTGCTTATAGTTACCTCTTAGTGCCAGGAAGAGTTTAGTGATCCAGGGAGGATATTTATTTTAATAACTCCTTAAAGTTGGAATTACTGAACTAAATATGTGTGCGCATGTGTTTGCGTGCTCTCGCGTGCATACGTGTGTGTGTGTGTGTGTGTGTGTGTGTGTGTGTTTGTGTTATGGGCATTAGCAGACCTATTTGCAAGTAACTAAAACAGGACAGACTCAGCCATAGTGGCGCCAAGGGGCCTGTGTTTCTTTGGAGAGGGCATGCCACTGAAAACCATCGGTTCATTTATTCTAAAACAGACATTTCAACCTGTTGTTCAGAAGCCCTCAGATGCTTAGATTTGCCAAAATGCTTTCCTGAGATTGAATATTAAATGAGAAAATTTTTATTAAGTGCTGATATGTAGGCAGCACTTAATAAATTAACCTTAGAGAGTTTCTGATTAACTAGGTTTTCTGGTTTAATAAAGTAAAATTTTTGAAGGTGCCTGTTTTATAAACTTCTTTTAATAATCTTTCTTAACTGTATTAGTCTACTTTTTTCAGCTCACTGACAGTTGAGCACCAGCTCTGTACTTACTCATAGCTTAGTCCTGGAAGGTGCTTACAAGCTGGACAGGAAGTGGGGGGTCACATTCAGGCAGAAGGACAGAGCACCTGGGACAGCCAGCAGCCAGGCATGACCTGCGCATGGGTGGGGGGGAACAGGAAGAGCTGGGAGCTAGGCAGTAAGGAGCCTTAATTCCAGGCTAAGGAAGCTGGACTTCATTCTGTAGTATGTAGTAAAGCCAAGAATGTTCTCACACAGAGGAGTGGCACAGTCAGACCTGCTCCCTGAAAGCTAACTTACAGCTACTGAAGGACAGATTGCAGACGTGAGAGTAGAGGCAAGGAGGCCACCAGCCCTGGCAAGACAGCAGCCATTGGCCTAAACTAGGGCAGAAGGACTAGCGAGAGGTAGGCAAGTGTCAGATGCCCTCCTGGAGGTCAGGATTTCAGTTTCACACCAAAAAATTATTCATCGGCATTTGTTCAACTGCCGGGGGACATAAGCTTCATGTAGGTCTCCCATGCGTCTCAGGTGTGGGGATCGGCGTGGTCCATGCTGGGTACGAGAGGCGCCTGGCCCACCACCTGGGAGCACACAGCACGCCCTCCATCCTCGGGATCATAAATGGGAAAGTCTCCTTCTTCCACAACGCCGTTGTCCGCGAGAACCTCCGGCAGTTTGTAGAGAGTCTCCTTCCAGGGAACTTGGTGGAGAAAGTAAGTACCTGCCTGAGAGGTGGCTGGCGAGCCGCTGGAACTGCTGACTGCCGGCCTCTCCGTGTGGCCATTGTGAGCGGGCAAGAGGCATGTTAGTGATTCACACAAACTAAGTCATTTCCGAGAAGTGTGTCAGAGACTGAAATTGAACAAGTGGAGCAGAGAGTCTCAGAGTCCCCGTGATAATAACCACTATGCAGTTTCACTCTGTCACAGGACTCTGAGCCTGAAATTCTTCTAAGCAAAAAATGAGACCTCCACACGAGGTAAAGGATTTCTTCCTGGCCCATGGCCTCGTCCACCTGAGGACACTTTCCTGTGGGAGTATTCAGGTTAAGCGACATTCGGTTATAGGTTTAATGGTCATATCTGTAGGAGACACCAGATTCCATGAAAGCAAATACTATGTCTGGAACTTTCAGAACATAGAGTGATGCAACAGTGGGATTAAGTTCCATGTGCAGAAGGTCAAGCTAAAGGAGCCAGGCGTGAAGGGTTCAGACAAGTGTATGGTTTTTATATTTTAGAAGTATTTTCCCCCAGTTAAGTTAGCGGTCAGAGGAGCTAGAACAGGATCCTTGTTTTGCTTTAAGTGACTCACTCCTTTAACAATACCAGGGAGAGTGAACATGCAGGCATTTCCATCATGTTTCCACCTGCACTGTTCACAGACTGGCTACCAGGACCATCGCCCACAGAAGAAATACCTCCTGAAGTCAGCTTGACAGGAGATTTTCAGAGAGCACTGCAGGCTCCTGAAACCATGAGAGGCTGCCCTGCTGCATCCTCCAACCTTTATGTAATATTTGTTCTGTGCCTGGCACTGGGATAAGTGTTGAGGATAATTTTTGAGGAGCTCACAGTCTAGTGGGTGCTTATGTGTCCATCCGGGATGTTAAGAGCTGTCCTAGGGTTGAGAAAGGCTTCCTGGCAGAAATGTCCCCTGAACTGAGTTTACCAGATGAGGAGAGGGAAGTAGCGAACGAGTCCTGGGCACACAGAGGTCCGGGGCAGGAAGAGTCTGCTTCGTGTGCAGTCATCACCTGTGAGCGGGAGGGGACAGATTAGAGCGTTAGCAGGAATCTTTAAGGAGCTTGGGCCTTCGCCTGCAGGCAGTGGAGCCTTTGACCAACCGGGAGAAGTGATCAGATTGAGGTTCCTTAGAGAGCCTTCTGGAAGCAGAGTGGAAAGATCCTTTTTTGAACTATTATTAAACATTTTCTAGATAGAAATTTAATTATGCATGCTTTTAATTTGTTTTCTCAGTAGGATTTTTTAAGGCATAAATGGAAATACAAAAGTAGCCATTCAGGTGGCAATAAATGAAGTTGTGCAATGAATAGATGAGGGGGCCCACTTATTTTTACCATGTTTTATTTGGGGGTTGGTTTCAGTTGAGTAATGTCCCGCCCCCTTCCTTTACACGCCTTCTCCTCTTTGGATGCTGGGTATTGTCACTTCTACCTTGTTGGGTACAATGTTAGATGTCTTCATTTTCCTATAAATACCCGAGCTCTGTTCTGGGATGTGGTTGAGTTACTTGGGAACAGAACTGTGTGGTCTTTTCAGGTCTTGTTTTAAATTTCTCTCATTGAGGACAGAGCAGCAGTTAATCTAGGGCCAGTTTTGTCTCACCAAGGTGGCAGAGTCCCCGTGCATGCTCCTCCCAGGGCTCTGAATGAGGGGAGGTTTTACCCCCGCTCGGGCCCACTTGGTTCCTTTAAGCTATTTTAAAAGAGCAATTGTTGCATGATCTGCTTTAGATTAAGTTAATAGATTAAGAATTACTGTCTATAATTAAGCAAGAACCAACGGTGAAAGCTCAGTTTTTTAAAATAACATGGTCAGTAATTGTTTTAGAGAAGATTGTGATTTCAGAGTGGGAACACACGAGAACATGAAATCAGCATCTCTGCTCTTGCCATAGTTTCAAATGAAGACAAAAGATTAGCTTTACAAAGTAGTATTTTATACATATTTGATTTTATTTAGTGATCTAGTGACTGGATAATAACACAGTTGAGAATTAAATGTTGAAACTAACACCGTCTTTCCCACTGAAGGTTACAGACAAGAACTATGTCCGGTTCCTGTCCGGCTGGCAGCAGGAGAACAAACCGCACGTCCTTCTGTTCGACCAGATGCCGGCTGTGCCGCTGCTGTACAAGGTAGTCTGTGCTGGGCGACGTCTCCTCTTGCTCTGGCGGAGGGACGTGCGGCCTGATGGTCCTTCTTGTGGGTAAACGCTTGTCCCATGAGAAATACTCCAAGACCAGAAATTTGCCTTAAACGCTGTGCGTTGAGCGTCTCCGGACGCTGGTGCTGTGCTGGTGCTGTGCTGGTGCCTTCCACCCATGGAATGGCAGTGATGTAGGCGTGACCCCTGCCTGTAGACCAAGGTCCGGGAGCTTAGCATGGCTGTAGGACCAACCCAAGGTCTCCCTGAAGCGTAGGGAGTGTCGATTCCCTTGAAGCCTGACTCCAGGCCTGCCCTCTGAGTACACCGCCGGGTACACCGTCCATGAGATGGTCACTGCCACCTTACACGACTGGGGCACAGGTAGCTCCCCAAACATTCCATGCCTCCCATCTGGTGCATAGCTCAGGAAGTGGAACATTTTGTTCCACCCGAAAAAAGAATGAGCTGTGTTGAGCCTTGTTGGGGCAGTTTTCGTGTGTGGAACACCTAGAATTCCTGACGTGTACAGTGTGTAGCAGCCTGAGTGGGGCTGTGCAATGGGCTAGTGTTCACCTCCACCCTCCGATGTGACGAGTCACACTCGTCTGTAGTTTACTGCTGTTCTGTTGATGTCATTTCCTCCCCTCTGTTGTGCCCCGACAGCTGACGGCTTTCGCGTACAGAGACTACCTGTCCTTTGGGTATGTGTGCGTGGGTTTGAGAGGGGCGGAGGAGATGACGAGGCAGCAGAACATCAATGTCCATGCCCCCAGCATCCTGGTCTTTAAAGAGCATACAGACAGGCCTGCGGACGCCATCCAGGTACGAGACAGCCAGCCGGTCTCACCATGGCTCACACTTATCTCGGGCCTTCATGGAAACACCAAACAGCAAAGCAGGGGAGGAGGAGAAGCTAGGTTTCCATTTCTTCCTTCAGAGGCGGGAACTCAAAAAGTTTATTTTCCAGCTGATTGGTACTCTTTTACTTAAAAAATAATCGTTTGGCCTTGGCCAATGTGGCTTAGTTTGTTAGACATTGTCCCAGGTACCAAAAGGTCACCAGTTCAATTCCCAGTCAGGGTCCATGCTGGGGTTTCAGGCTTGATCCCCAGGAGGGGCCATGCAGGAGGCAGCCGATCACTCTCTCATCATGGATGTTTCTCTCTCTCCCTCTCCCTTCCTCTCTCTGAAATCAATAAAAACATATTTAAAATAACAATAATAATCTTTTGGCAGAGAGTGGAATGGTGGTTGCCAGGGGCTGGGGGAGGAAAGGGGCATTAGTGTTTGCTGGGTACGTTTCCGTCTGGGAAGATGGGAAGGAGGTGGGTGGCAGGGTGGTTGTGGAACAGTGTGAGGATATGTGATGCCACAGAACCATACGTGTGGAAAGGGTGAAGGTGGCACAGTTTATGTCGTGTGTATTTTACCACAGAAATTAAATAATAAAACCTCCCCCAAAATGGGCTAAGAATATGAACAAAATTCTGAGAAGAGAGTCAAGTGACTAATAAACACTTTTAAAAATTAAATCTCACTAATAATCAAAGAAAAGCAAATTGAACATTCCCTTCTCCCATCAAATTGCTAAAGATTGTCAAAGTAAAAATACTCAGAAGTGTTGAGGGAAGAAAGAAGCAGACACTTTTTTTTGCCTCGCTGGGGGAGGCTTCACAATTTCCAGAAAAGCAGTTGGGTGGTAATGAGTCAGCTGCCTAGATTCCTTCATCAAGAGTCCTCCCGAGTCCCTGTCATGTGCCCAACACTGCTCTGTGTTGGGGGTCCAGCCCTCAACAAGACCAGCAGGACCCCTCGGCAGTGTTCCGGTGGAGACTGCAGACAGTCAGCATGACATACTCTGTCGGGGTGTTAAGTAGTGGTAAGTGCTAAGGAGAGAAATAAAGCAGGAGAGAGGGATGTGGAGTGTTGGGGGAGTGTTGGGGCCTTTCTAAGGTGTGGTGGCTTCATTAAGATCATGCTTGAGTAAAGACCTGAGGGAGAGGAGGTTACTTTTTAGGAATCTCTCTGTCCTAGGGGAGCAGGAACTCAGACAGAGAATTACTACAGAGACGGTAAGTACCACTCATAGTAGCAGAAATGAGGGGGAATGTGGGTACCCACCAGTAGGATAATTATTGGTACATTTCAAACAGGGACCTCATATAGCCACTTAAAATGGCAATTTGGGGATACTAGTGATGGGAATAATCTTCATAATAGAACGTTAAAGAGCAAGCAGGATGCAAAGTTGTACGTGCAGTTTAAACACTGATCCCAGGGTAATAACATGCGTGTGTGCACATACGCAGGAAAAATGGAAATAAGTGCATGACAACATCAGTGGTTATCTCTTCATGGTAGAATTATACATTATTTTAATGTTTGGATTTTCAATATAATAAATGTATTCTTTTATATTTTTCAATGTTATTTTTGAAAGTTAACAAGAACCCTTTGGCCTTCTCAAGGCTAGAATGAAGGAAATGAGAAATTCTATTTATTGACTTAGAGACATAGATTTGTTGTTCCACTTATTATGCACTCAGTTGCTTTTTATATGTGCTTTAAGTACTACTTTATCTGCATCGCAACATTGATAGTGTTTTCAATAATCATTCAAGTTCAGGATGTTTTCTAATAACTGATCTACTTTCTTAGGTCAGTAGGTTATTCAGACTGTGCTTCTTAACACCCAGGGCTGTTCTGGCCCACATTGTATGTCGGTTTCTAGATTGTGGTCAGAACCTGCAGTACATGAGGCGGGCAAAAGTAGGTTTACAGTTGTGTGGAAAAATTTACAAGACAAGAAAAAATAACAATGCAGGAATAAACTCTGTGCTCTGTGTACTCACACCTGCAAAACTGATTTGCCACCGTGTTCAGTTTCAGTCCCTCACAGTGTGTGAAAGCTGCTACTAACAAGGGTCCCATCCAGCCTTGAGTCCGCCTCTTGTACGCATAACTTTGTCACTTTGGAGTTTATTTAATTGTTCAGTTTGCTGCAAATCCTAACTGGAGGTAAATTTGCCTAGAATGTGAAATGATGGCGTTTTAAGCCTGCCAGCATGAAACAGTATACGGAGTTCTCAGGTAAAAAGGGCACCTGACTCTCACCTGGCCTGCAGTCACTGCGGCTTTGCCTCCAGCCCTGCGTGGTAGAGGAAGGTCCCACGTCCATCAGGTTCATTTCCTCAAGCGGACCTCTCTTGTTTTGTTATGTTACTGCACCAGGCTCAGCCACATTTTTGTGGGGCTCATGAGTAAGTTTCTGGTTACAGTGAGGAAACGGAGTAAACGTCAAATGTTCCCTGGTTTCCCTGCAGACCCGAGGTTTGAAGAAGCAGGTCATTGATGACTTCATCACCCAGAACAAGTTCCTATTGGCAGCCAGGCTCACCAGCCAGAGGTTGTTCCATGAGCTCTGCCCTGTGAAGCGGTCTCACCGACAGAGGAAGTGAGGACTCTGCTCGTTGCAGTGGGGGGGGGGACCGTGTCGCACTTTACTGCAGTAAATGCCATTAAATGTCTACCCCGTGACAGTCAGGACTTATTCCTCATGCAACAAATGCTCACTGGCGGCTGTTAGGAGTGGGGCATATTAATTTAGGGTCCCTTAGGACCCTGATGGATGTACCAGCCTGGTCTAGGGGTCAGAGGTCTCCCTAAGATGTAACACTTCCACTGAAACCTGAAGAATGAGCAGACTTTCGCCAGGGGTCAGGGAGAGATGGTTACTTTGAAGAAGCATGAGTGTGAGAGCTACAACCCTGCTAGAATATTCCACGCAGGTTTCAGATAGAAACTCCACACGGCAGGAACATAGTAAGTGCTCCGGGAATGTTTGGGAAGTGGACAGGTGAATGATTGGCTACTTTCCATTGGAACCATTGCAAAGGGCGCCCTTCAGAGTGAGGCTGGGCAGCCTGCAGCCGAGAGGGGTGAGCAGCCCTGCCTGTGGGGAAGAACCAGACCAGAGGACCCCTGAAAGGCCTCTGTGTCAGGGAGTCATTGGCCGTTGCCTCCAGAGAAATTCCCAAGTGTGGCCGGTTTGGCTTGGGGAAACATCAGCCTGGGGAAGAGCAGGTCGTGGATGACTGGGTTATAACGTCTTGTTGTGGTGCAGGTACTGTGTGGTTTTACTGACCGCTGAGGCCACCAAGTCAAGTCAACCCTTTGAGGCCTTCCTGTCCTTTGCTCTGGCAAACACACGGGACACCGTGCGATTTGTGCATGTCTACAGCAACCGGCAGCCGGAGTTCGCCAGCGCCTTCCTGCCAGACAGCGAGACGTTCCAGGGGAAGTCGGCGGTGAGTCACAGTCTCCGTCCTGACCCCAGCTCTGCACTAGCAGAGCATCTGATTCTGTGTCCTCCTGCCTCTGGGGTTTCTAATACAAATTCCAGAAGACCCAGAAATCTCTGAGCCTGTTTGAAAGCCTGCTGTTGAACAGCCCCTCACCCTGGTGGTCTCACCCCCTAGATTTCCAGCCCCGGGCCTGCGAGGGAAGGCTGCAGAGCATCGGCCCTTTCACCAGCTCTGCCCATGGCAGGCCTAGTCTTGCAGGACCCCTTAGGCTACCGATAGCATGCTGTGGCAGCGCCCCCCGCGCTCACGCACCCTGACGGTCTGCACCCTTCCCTCCTGTGTCATCACTGGGCACGAGCATGGCAGTCTCCTCTTTTCCTCATCTTGGTTATCAGGAGAATCTCTCCAAAAACAAAGGGTTCCTTTGTTATAAAGTTAGGTCAGAGGTTGTCAACCAAAGTTTATTGAGAAAGAGCTTTAACTTTTAGCAGAAGCGTCAGAAAGTCGCCATAAAAAGCCACTGTAATTTCTTTTGTCAGAAAAATTTATCCGCATGCATCGTTGTGTTTGAGTTTGTTGCTCACTTCTCTAGACCCTCCCCCCCA